ATTAGCATTACCATTGTAAAGTAACAAGCGACAACTGTGTTATTTCTATTTCCCTTCTTCATGCTAAGAGAAAACCAAAGTGAAAAGAAACTACAATCCACTGAACAAGTAAGTCAGGCAAGGTTATGATGTAATGACCTTCAGTTGAAGCAAGAACCTCAGGTTTTAATCCAGATCACAAACTTTATTGCTTTGGGGATTTCACCATCTCTTAATCACAAAAGTAATAAGAATTTCCAATATGTTCAACTGCTGTGCCTAATCAATTGTTCCAGCTGCCAATCACTGGCAATATCAGAAAGTACTGTGGACTTAACAAATGCCTGCCAGCCAACAAACCAGCTGTGACCCTTTGCTAACACTGAAGGGTCTAGACAGTAAACTTTAACCTCTCCTCACACATCCCTGACATATTACATATTGTATCACAGCAGGCTCATAGTTATTGCAGTACGTACTGGACAGATTTTATTTTGTTACTCATATTATGTGTACACGGAAAGCAGAAACCCATGGCAGCAAGTCTCAGAGCCCACGTCTACAGACGTGAGCTCTCAATATGGCATTACAAATAGCAGTATAGACTTCAGGCTCAGGTTGGTACTCAAAATCAGAAGCCTGCCCCCCACCTTAGGTTTCAGACCCTGGGGACCTTTTTTTGGCAACTAGCATCCTTGTCCAATAACTTGCTGTAACACATGGAAACATCAAGTTGGCTTTTCTATGGCGGTGGAAAGAGTCTCTGCCATTTTATATCTTCCCCCACCTCCAAGGTGAAGATAGAGCTCACACTCTGCAGTGGGCTGCTACCTCAGAGCCAAATATTAAAATGTGGCAAATTGCATGCCTTCTGACAGGAAACACTAATAGCAACAAAAAAAATAGTAGCTCAAACCTAATCGGCCAAAACCTGGGAAAAAACTAAATTTCAGAAGATTTTTTTATAAAGAAAAAAAGAATTTTCTTGCTTATTGTGGAAGAATACAATTGCCTGGTTCCTCTGTGGTAAGAGACCATCAGACCAGGTGATCTGGAGTATCATTAGTAAAGAAGGAGGTATGGCTTCATTTTCAGCTTGTGGACTGCCTGAAAATCTCTGCTGAGTGTTAAGATTTTTCGTAAAGAAATGCCAGGCACACACGCATCAGAGAAAAGCCAAAAAGACTCAGAAAGCTAGGTTTGTAAATCTCAGTTCACGTTGCTAGCTTTTATTTGATTTCCTTAATATGGTCTAGTGGTTTTAGGAAGCCCTGCGTTCTCACTCCACTTCTGCCAATGACTTCCTCTGTGGCTTTGGAAAAGTTACTTAAGCGCTCTGCCTAGTTTCCCCAGCTGTAAAATGGAGATAATGATACTTACTAACCTAACTCCCAGGTTGTGAAGATTAATGTTTGTTTGTAAAGGACTTTGACCCAGGCAAACATATGTAGGCATCTAACTCCCACTGAAATCAAATGGGAATTAGGCATCTAAATACCTTTGAGGAGGATTTAGGCCTTTGAACATGGAAACACAAAAAGGGGAGCTGAAAGGGGGGAGATAGACATGGGGAAGGGGGAAATGTGACCTGAATGCAGCCAGGTGGCCATGTCTGTTTTTCTATTCTGATGCCAAATATCCTGTTCACAAGGATGATATAATTATTCTGTATACAAATGAAATGTTAAATATAGTGATTTAAAAAAAAACACGCTAGCAAATATGCACCTTTAATTGAAGCTGAACCACAAAACAAAAGGTTTATACTGTCCTTTCTAAGTGGGAAGTATTTTCAACCGTGCCTCAAAATCTTTGTGGGCATGGGTAGGAAGAGAGGCATTTGGGGGCAGAAATAGATTGACAGAGCACTGATTTGACAGTAATAAATCCATGGTAATAAATTACACCATAGTTGGTAGTTTGCAAGAAGAAAGGTGGTAATTCTGCATTTTAAACATGTTCCTTTAAATTACAGGGTTCTTGCTCCATTAAGAGAAGAAATTGAATTTTTTATAGTATAAATTCTGTAATATTTTAAAATGCTATTTCTCTTTTTTCTTACTCATGAATCAGGTTTCTTTTTCCCTCCATCCACTTCATTTTTATTGCATGTCAATAGAATACATAAGAATGCAGCTCCACACAGAGAAAATCTGTAGGAAGAGAGATGCCTGTTGGATAATCTTTATGTGTTGGTAAATCCAACTGTGATGAGACCTTGAAAATGGCAGCATGAATTTTTCCTATGTAATTACCAAAATTAGATGACCTAAAAAGGTGTAACTCAATCTCAGATTCACATTCAAGTCCAAAAGGCTATCTATCTGAAACTATGCTGAGCTTCTTAAGGATCCCGGGGGGAACAATCGCTTTTTCATGGTATTTATTCCTGGGAATTTCTTTTGATGGGTTTTATTTATGTTGGAGTATTATACAAACTATTGACTTTCATATTTATTGAAGAAACAGGAAAAAGACTTTTTACTGAGGAACACTTTGTTAAATAAAGCCCTTTTTCATAATGTTTCTATGCAAATCTAGCTTATGATAAATTGGAGGTAAGAACAATGTTTGTTGTCACAGATGTTTACTAAGTTTCATGCTATTCAAACTATGTGCTTAACTTAGATCAGGCAGCAAAAGGCAATTACTTAAGAGAAACTGACAACAGAAAGATTTGTTTTCTCAAATAATGATGCTAAGGATCCTCCACATAATTTGGAAGTTACTATAGTACTGTACAGTATATTGAGAAATTAGAGATTCAGATCTAAGGGTATGTCTACACAAGAGCTGGAAAGTGTAATTCCTAGCTCATATAGACATATTTGCACTTGCTCTGCTCAAGCTAGCACACTAAAAATAGCAGCATGGCGGTGGTGGCATGGGTGTTAGCTTGGGCTAGCCATCCGAGTACGTACCTAGGACCTCAGATGGAGTTGTACTAGGGCAACTAACCTGAGCCACCACCTGTGCCACTGCAGCCACAGTGCTGTTTTTCGTGCATTAGCTCAAGCAGAGCTAGCACGTGTATGTCTACCCAACCTGAGAACTACCCATCCATCTGCTGTGTACACATATGCATAGATACTACAGCCATGAGTGCTCTAGAAATGCACATAAATATCTTCCCATTGATATGCATCTGATATCATAGGGCTAAATGCTGGCCCCCAGCTTTCCTGCAGCTTTGAGGCAGTCAAGGCTGTGTGACATAACATGGCATGACTTGGAGGCTGCTGTCTTCCATGGATGCTGAAACAGTGCTCCATAGCATCCATAAAGCTAACCAAGCCCTTCTTCTGCCCACTTGTAGAGTCCATGACTGCACCTCACCCAGACATTGACCACTGAGATTAGAGAAGGGCTCTGTATTCAGCAGGCTTCCCTTACTCTGTGTGGGGAAAGAAGGGGTGGATTTCTTCTGGACTATCAAGAAACAGGAAAGACAGAGCAGGGGTGGAATGCAGAACCTATTTAGGGCAAAGAAAACACCACTATTGCAATAAATAGGGAAGGAGACACCCACACCCACACAGGGAGAAAGAGAGACCAGATCTGTGGAAAGTTCCAGAGGGGAACATCGAATTTATTTGTCAACATCTTCACTAGGTGTGTGGGTCAGGACTTGGTCCATCTATATATCAATGGCTAATTGTTAATTTATAAGAGTTGTGTATGTGCACATCCAAAAGCAGAATTCGGCACACTAACAGTTATGGGAGCTCTGTATGTGCGCGCTAAGGGGATATTATACATCCCTACATTACTCAGATGAAAACAAGCAGTTTTTTTCTTTGTCAGCAGATTAAGGTCTCTAAATAGAAACATAGATGTTGGAGATGGAAAAGACCTCTTAGGTCACTCTATATGCCTATCAGTACATGCTTGTTCCCTACAGTACTTTCTCCAATTTAGCTTTGTCTCAAGCAATGTGGCTTCTAACAGTTCCCTTGGAAACCATTCTCCAGTCTAATTGATCTCACCTTTAGGTAGTTTTTCTTAATATGCAGCCTACATTTTAATTTTCTTAATTTCATCTCATTTCTCCATCATATACCTTGTGTTATCCTACACAATTCCTCTGCTCAGAAACTTGAAGATGTATCTCTCCATTTTGTTTCGCTAAGCCATACGCTTTTTGTACTCTTTATCTTTTTTGATGAAGAATGAGTATCTATTTTTCACCCAAAATCAACTGCATCACTTGATGCAGATGTCAGTAAAAAGCACCTAAGTTTATCAGGGGCCAAGTTAGTGTGTTACTCTCCCTGTGTTTACTGTTGCTTTGCCAAAAGTAAAAACATCTGTGTTTTACATTTGAAAGGAAACTCTTTGCCTTTGAAACAATCCGCAAGACAACAAGGATTGTCTACAGTCCTCACACAGTTGCTAATTGCTGGCATCCTCATTTATAGCATCTCTGAAAATGAAGCTACTGATTTTTAGGTCATCTCATTAGGATGTAGGGAGGAACATCTATAATGCTTTTAAGTTAACCCTTCAGCATGTGAGTAGTTTTTTTTATTTGTTGAAAAATTATGAAAGTATTCAAATTTTCAAAAAGTAGTAAACATTTGTTTTTAATTGTGATGTTTTGTATCAGTTTTTAGATCAGCTCTAAGAACTATGCTTTATAGCTTTACAACTTGTTCTGCAATATGAAAAAATAATAGACCCCAGATTTGCAGTGTTTATTCAAGCAAAACTCCCAGGACTGGGTCCATAATGTTGTCCTTTTTGATTTTAGACAGCTGTCCATTGTGAACTGTCCAATCGCGTGCATGTTTTCAAAACCCGATCAGTGTTTCTTTCATTATAACATAGTTTGGGTTGGTTTTTTTTATGGACCAGTAACATTTTTTCAAACAGAAAGTAAGACTTGAAAAAAAGTTAGTTTCTAAGAATTAGCATTAACTCATTTGTAGGAAGGGTGATCACTTACCTGATAGTACTGATTGATCACTGAAATCATGTTGTGCCTACCATGATACTGAATATTGCTCTCCCTCTGATTTCAGCTACAATGTTCTCCAGTACTCACTCAAGTCGGAGTGGAACGGCTGCTGGGGGTGGTCCACCATCACATCCTGTCAGTCACCCTTCTCCAGGGCATAATGTACAGGGTAGTCCCTGCAACCCACCATCCCAGTTACCTCCTCTCTCAACTGTAGACTCAGGCACTGAAAGGTAAGACTATCTTTATTCATTTTAAAAATGAAGCAATTGACTTTGAACATTACTAAGTTTAGTAGTAGTTTTATTGTTACTCTTGTTTGTTTAGAATGTTAACAGCGCAGCCGGATTATGATGATACTTTAACATATATTTTGTGTTCGTGCACAAATGTAGAGTAAGTGACCACTGTTCTAAGTAAATCCCAGAGCATATAGTTGTGCCTCTGGGATTTACTTAGCTACATTCACTGGTAGTTTTAGAGAGATTCTTACTTTTTTAAAATTTATTATTTGTACTACAATAGTGCCCAGAGGCTCCAACCAACATTGGAGTCCTGTTGCGTTAGGTGCTAACACATAGTAAGACACAGTCCCTGCCTAGAAGAGCTTACACTGTAAATAAACAAGACAAATAGTAGGAGGGGACACAGGGATGAAGTGACTTACTCAAGGTCACTGAGTAGATCAGTGACAGAACTATAATAGAACCCCAGGTCTCCAGACTGCTAGTCAAGTCTCCTATCCACAAGTCCATTATATGAAAGCTATAAACTGTAAGTAGGCTTGGAAGGATTAGATTTTTATTGATTAATGTCAGTAAACATCAATTTCACTTTGCATACACAAACCAACAAAAATATATTTCCATCAATGATTATCAACATTTACAGAGAAGCAAAGCAAGCAAAATGTTGTGTGAGAATTTATTAGAGTTTGATTTAGGGATATTTACTTTGTGTTTTTCGACATTTGATGCTGATAATTTGCATCTTAATAGTTAGAAACCTGTAACTTTTGAATCTCAATGTCTACTGTCAACAATTATTGTCTGACCCCCAATAATTTCCTGCAACTGTAAAAATTTAAATAGATAAAATTTTAAAAATGCTTAAATCCTGTAATTTTTGCACAACCATGAAAAGTTAAATTGATCATCTAAAAACAATGCTTTAAAGTAAACATCGCTATTAATGATTGAAATTACAAAAAAAAAAATATTGAATTCTGCCAAGCTTATGAATCAGGATAGTGTCTCTCCAATTTAAAATCCCATTGAAGGAGAAAAGACAAGGTGGAGGAGAGATGGAGATTCTTTCTTAATAAGAATGAAAATGTTAATTATTGAGTTACTCTATGTAAGTGGCTTGGGAGCCATGACTATTAGAGCCTCACTAGCATTTATATTCTTGTGCTACTTGGCAACATGTTGAAGTGGGCAGGTTGTCAGTTTGATTATCGCTGACTGACTTGGCTTTCGAGAAGTGTAACGCACATGGGTTGAACTTCTATTGCATGTGTTTGTATTTGTTTTCAGCATGTTTAGTAGGAGGAATTTTTTTAATCATGAAAATTTGCAAGCTGAACTTGCAAGGTGCTGCATGCCTCCAGTGAACTTATAAATGCCCCTCAAGCACAGGGAATTTTTAGAGTTCAGGTCACGTTGTACCTCTCAGGAACTGATCAGCACTTCGCAGGACTGGGACCCTGATTTGCATGTTATTTGATATTTGCAGCTTTGAAAACTCTGGTGTAAACTCAAGCTGCTTTCTCAACTGAAATAAGCTCATATTTTTGCAGGAAGTTGATATCTTCCTTATTGTGAGACTAGTGTGTGATGACTGGACTTGACTTCTAATTCAGTAACAAAAGACTATGATTCATAGTCAGAAGTCATTCATTGCTGGTTACGGACAAGATCTCCCATCTTTATGGTTTCTATTACTTTGGATATTTCAGTGATATAAAAGCAAATCCTCTGAGAGGGATCCAGTTTTCATCTTTAAATATTACCTAAATGATTATTGAACAGATATTGCATGCTGTTAATGGTTTCCACTTAGTATATTAAATCAGAATTCTGACTATACTGCATGAGATCTAGGTAAATAGGTTTTCAGTAGAAACATAATTCTGATATAAATTCAGTGGTACACATATTACACTCTAATTTTAATATAAATATTCTATTCTTACTATATATCTATGGAAATTTTTAAATATAGTTTTGCTGATTTTACATAATTTTCAACACACTAAAATACACACTTCTATAGTTCACTAATGTATCACAAGGTGTTTAATTTTCTTGAGGAATAGAAATGTCAGTAATTAGAAAAGCATAAAAAGTTCAATATAAACCTAAAAAGAACTTTCCTAGATTTCAGTTGCTGATAAATGGACCTAATTCCCCCATGATGAAAATAGTACTACAGCTCTGCCTTTTATCTTGAAGATGGAGGAACTGGATGGCTTGGGGGATTGGGCTAAGATGTCTTTCATGTCTAGGTTGCCACTTTGAGTTCAGTTAGTTCAGTCATGGCTGAAAGGGGTTAGACCCCCTGCTCTATGCGGGTAGTATCAGTCTACTTCTAGTGGAGGTGCCTCATCACAAACACAATCATCATTGCTGCAAATTGTTAGTATTCTTGTTAGGAGAAGGGCCAAGGAGTGAATGATATATAGATTCCTCTTCCCTGTAGAAGTGGGTTCCTGTCAGTTGGAGTTGAGGGATATTGGCAAATGCTATTGGGATGTTTCCGCTGCCTTTTGTTGCTAGACCACTAGCAGGGTCAGTCCAGCATTTATTATAAGCATTAAAATCGCTGTTTAAAAAGCAAGTCTGGATCCTCTTATTAGCACATTTCTGAGAAGATTACTGTGGGGAGACCACTGTCGAAGCACTTTAATAGTGACGTGTATAAATAGTTCCTAACTCATTGGGGCCCTGATCCTGTTTGTGGCCTCAGGACACTATGATGATACAGGCAATAATGAATAATAATGAAGTTCTGGTCTGATACACTCCTTCCTTACAAACTTTTTTTTTTTTACACTAACCATATACACATTTTCATAAACTGTTTCATTGTTACTCTCCATCTCTGTTTGGGGCTTCTTTGGATTCAAGACTGAGTAAATGCCAATAACTACATTAATGCAATGTTAAGAGGAAGCATTTAAATGCAGGAGAGTGAAGATTACCACAGCAGTGATAAGTTGGTCACAGGGCACCTATATATATTTAGGCAAATATTTAACAGGAGAAATAATACAAAACACTGCATATAGCCAAGACCCTGTGTATTCTGCCATTATGGAATTTTCCACAGAATTCACTCCTTGTTGCAGAATCTCCATTTCCATTTAAAAAAATTAAATGCAAGCCTTCATGGTTGTGGTGATAACCTTGAAAATGTGAAGAATAAACTTGTCTGTTTGTGCAAAGATCCTGAAATAATAGTTCTGAGAGGTATGAACTGCCTCAGCCATCTTAATCTGGGACCCACCGACTTAGACCTGGTCTAAACTTAAAATGTAGTTGGACATAACTATTGTGTTCAGGGGTGTGAAAAACAGACACACCTGCGTATTGCAGCTATGCTGACATAACTCCTGGTGTAGACGCAGCTAGGTCAATGGAAGAATGTTTTGGTCAACCTAGCTACCGTCACTCAGGGAGGTAGAGTTCCCACAGCAATGAAAAAACCTCTTCCATTGCTGTTATCTGCATCTACACTACAGGGTTATAATGGCATAGCTATGGCACTGTAGCCATTGTCGCACCCATAGTGTACCCATGGCCTTACTGATTATGCAAGCGTGGAATATGCCATTTTCTCCAAGAGATCACAGAATTCTACATACAAAATTAATTACTGAGCTGGAGCCAAGAGCCCAGCATTTTGTTTTGTCTCCCTGGCCTGCTGGGACCTGCCTGCAGCTGCCTCTTGCTCTGGACCTTTCAGCACAAGGGGAAGTTAATTGGCCTACAGTGCATGCTCACATCACTGTTTTATAGAACAAGGCAGGAGTGAGGAGAGGCTGGTGCAGAGTTTAGGGAGCCAGTGCTGGAGTCCAGGTTGCAGCCAGGGAGCAAGGGGAGGCAGAAGGGCAGGCTGGATAGCTAGGCTGCCTAGAGGCTTGGGGAGCTGAGATGATGAACTAGGGAAGCAGACCAAAATCTCTGCCTTCCCTCTTCCATGGCACACATGAGGAAGGGGAAGGAGAATCTGTCCTGGACCACCTAGATAATGTTGTAACTGCTGAGGCCCTTGGAGCTGGGCATGTAGTGTACAAAGCAAAAAAATCCATCATGAACAAAGTATGGTTGAGAATAATCATTGGTGAATTGTACAGCCCACTATGAGTCATCGTCGTGTGTTTGGTTGCGGAAGGGATGAGAATGTAGGATATTTCATGGAGATACAATAAATTAATATTGCCACAGAATTTAGGAGTTCTTACCGCAGACTTTGTTGCCATTGTGCCATGTAGTACATGAGGTGCTGCATATTCTAAGTGGGCAATGTGGCTCCACTAATGCAGTAGAACCTCAGTTACGAACACCTCGGGAATGGAGGTTGTTCGTAACTCTGAAATGTTCGTAACGCTGAACAAAACGTTATGATTCTTTCAAAAGTTTACAACTGAACACTGACTTAATGCAGCTTCCAAACTGTACTATGCAGAAGAAAAAATCAGCTTTTAACCATCTTAATTTGAATGAAACAAGCACAGAAACAGTTTCCTTACTTTATCAAATCTTTTTTTTAAGCTTTCCTTTTATTTTTTTAGTAGTTCACATTTAACACAGTACTCTACTGTATTTGCGTTTTGGGGGGGGGTTTGGGGTCTCTGCTGCTCCCTGATTGCATACTTCCGGATCCAAATGAGACGTCTGGTTGACTGGTCAATTCATAACTCTGGTGTTCGTAACTCTGAGGTTCTACAGTATTACCCTGAGAACCTTAACTACTGGGTTTTCTGCATTTTGAATGATTAACTTCTCAACCTTAATGTTGCATTAACATAGTTCTTGCTTTTAATATTCAATTACAAAACCGAAAATTTTAAAGAAAAAAAAACAGTTGCTGCTACCTAATTCCACACCCATCAGCAGAAATTTCTCTACCGCTATAACAGAACAAGGCTGTCACTTGTTTTCCAGCTGCAGAAATACTCACATCCATCATCTCCCAAGGTGAAATGCCCCATTATAGGTAATGGTATGTC